AAATGAAAGCCACGTTGGCCAAGAAAGCACTCAAGAGTCTGAAGAAGATTAAAGCTGGCAGATTCCAAAAGATAGCAAAGAGCCCAGCAGTGAAACTCAAGGCTGCCACAATCAAGGCATAGAAATGCAAAGTGATTAAGGCTATTCAGGTAGTACAAAAGAAGTAGAAGAAAAATCTTAAATGAGCAAATGCAGGGACATCCCTGCATCCAGGGACACTGTGTGTACATTCATGGATTGAATAATTGTTTTTCACTATTTTTTTCCCTCCAAAGGAAAATAAAAAATCAATTAATAATTTTTGAAATTTCCTTGATTTGCAGTTAAACATCATATGAACTGTGATGTTCCTTTTTGCTATTTTCTTCCATTATCTATAGCAGGATAGCAAAAAAGATGGAGCCAGACTCTCCTCAGAGGTGCAAAGCAAAAGGAGAAGAGGCATTAGACACAAGCTACAAAACAGGAATTTCTAATTTGACATAAGGAAATTACAGAATATGATGCAGCACTGTAACAGGCAACTAGAGAGGTTGCAGACCTGGAGATTTTTCAGAACTCAATTGGATAAGGTCCTGATTAAGTTCAAAGTTATCCTTGCCTGCTAACTTCCACATAATGTTAATTATGATCCTAACTGGGAAGGTATTCTATCTCCATTTGGACATTTATTTCAAAAAATGTACAGTTCCACGTACAGGTGAAGTTCAAAGCTGGACACATATGGAGAAATTTACACTGTCAAACAATGTCAGACTGTGTGAAGCAGGAGTAAATGTTATGGAATCATTCACCTTAAAATTTAAAATCCTTTTTTGATTTCAGTACAGGTATTCTTTATGCATTGGTAGTTTTCTTCTTGGATGCATTGCAAACATCTCTTCCCTCTGTAAAGGACAAGCACATAGCCTAATCAGCAGCATGCTCTTTAGGAATCCCTCCAAGATGAAAGACCTGATGACACCACACTTTGTCCACATCCTGGATTCTTGTGCATGAGATCCTGGATTCTTGTGCATGAGATCTATGCAACGTGAAGCTTCCACGTGATAGCTGTCCTCTTCACCTTGTTTCTTGCTGTGAGAGGAACATGTGAACAAAGAAGAAAGACTGAGAAGAGAATGAGAGAAATAAAGGCAGAGAGCAAAGAAGAGAAGAAATGGGAGAGTGAAACTCCCCTTGCTTTCTAGGCACAGTGCCTGTCTGTGTGATTGACTCCCCTTGAAGGGGAATTCCATCTCCTCAGACTGAGGGTTAGGCACTAGAGCACTGGCCACAGCAGCTTTGAAGCTGACAACACTGATCAGTAACCAGGAAGGGTGACAGCAAAATGAGCAAAAACAGTCCTTGTGTGGGAAGTGACTACAGGCCATGTAACTTCAGCTCCAGGTTAGAACAGTTTATGAAAATCAGCCATGAACTCTTGGTCACACTTCTAAAATGGGACTTTAGCACCATTCTTTGTGGCCAAAGGTTATAAGAAACAGACCTAGCTAGAACTGTGTTTAAAACCATTTCCCCAATTTACAAGAGAAGGCACCAGAAGGAGGGTGTGGGAATCGGAAATGACCAGAGAAAGGCAACTAAGAACTAAAACTATTGAGGTTGTAATGGCAAGGCATATAAATCAATCTATGGCATAAATGCTAGCGAAGATGAGGAAGACTGTCTGTGGACTGTCTGTGGTACTCTGTTCACACAGACTGTGGAATGTGCTGATATCAAGACGTTAAAAAAACTCCTAAGACAAAGCAGTGCCAGGAATATATGGATGTGAGCAACATTTATTGCCACTCTGGCTGACATAGTTATTACTGTAGTATTTTGAGACAGGAAAGCAGCAGCATTAGCCAGGAAGAAACATGGACTGTAAGAGACAGTATTGTGCAATGAGGTCCATTGCATGCTCCAATCCTGAAGAATTATGGGCCACTGTTAGAAGCACTTTAATGGGTAATTTGGGCCACAGCCACTTTTGTTCTAGAAATGCCAGCTAAATGCAGCTCAGCCCCCTTGACGGCACAGAAACAAAAGCTCCCTGGAATCTCCTGCGCTCTGGGTGCTACAGCTTTGTGGCTGATCTATAACATACATGGAGTAAGTTTTGAATCTTGGGAAAGACAGAGATTCAATGAAAGAGAATTTTGCATAATCCTCTTGACCTAAATGTATATTTTTAGTCAACAGATCTTTCAGTTGTTGCTATTTTGTGCTCTAATTAACACGTTCTTCTTCGTTTACGAGATGATATATCAGAGCTTTTGTTTTACTTCAACCATCTTATCATCTTACTTGGAGATGGTAACTCTCCATCAGAAATGCGGGGCACATCCTTAGTGGGAACATGTCTCCTTAGCATGAATCTCATGGACTGGGAGGAATTGTTGCTCCAACTGTCAGCAGCTACCAACTGCTTGGAAAAACTAGCACAACCATCCATGAAGAAGCTGCTGCTGAGGACAATTATCTGTAACTCTAGAAAAAAAATAATAGTCTCCCAGAAAGACCCATGATTCAGGAGAGAACCAGGAGACTGGCATATCAAAACTGGGCTAATGAGGAGTACAGGTTCAGGCTGGAGTCAAACCCGCGCACAAAATTACAGGAAATCTACAGCTAGCGACAAATAAACCCAAACACATGAAACTTGCCAATAACAACAGGAAATAAATTTTATTTTAATATTTTTCGGTGCATTATGCATTATATGGACACTAACATTAAAACATTATTCTCCTGAGAAGGAGTGCCTCTTGCTATCACTGCTGGAAGCAAGTAGCAGAAAAATTTCTAATCATTTTCCAAACTGTACGAAAGATAAAATTTCTATATACTGTACAATAGCTATGTTATACAGCTATACATATATATCTATATAGGCTTATATTTAACTCTAACTGTGGAGTGGAGACTTGGTCTAATCCAATTCCCAAGAGCTCCTAACATTTTATCTCCACTCAGGCTTAGTCCACACAGACAAAATCCACAAGCCTCTCACTATATAAGTCAGTGGCTGCTGGTGACTTGAACGGCTTTGAGATCAAGCTTGAATTGCCCTCCTCTTTATAGAGATGTGCATATTCTCAATAAAGAGAAATTCCTCCTCCATCCCTAGTCTCGTGAGTTTCAAGTACTCAAGAGCAGCACCATCTTCTGTGTAGGAGCACTATGTCCCTATGTAAAGGACAGAATTCCAGAATTGCGTAACTTGGAATTCTTTCTCCTATATAATAGATTGATATAGAGAGACTTGGCCTATCTATGGCCAATCTTGTCTTTACATAGAACAAACCCGCTTCTGCACAGGGGTATCTTTCTCTACACAGAGGATGTAACACAGCCTTTTGCTGAATATAGCAAAAATCTGACTCTGATGGAGAAGCCCTTACTTTTAACTTTTTTGCTAAAAAAAAAAAAAAAAAAGACTGAATTTTGCATAGCAAACTGTCCCTTACACTCCTTACACTGTGTTACTCTGGCTCTGTGTAGGAGACCACTGTTTCTATGAAGCTGAATGGCAAGCAGTTCTGCAGCAAGTTGCATTACATGAAGTAGCTAGATGCATGTTCTAGCAAACTGGTTTTCCGTTAGAGCTAAGAAAAATTTGTCAGAGATCCTACAGACAGGGTCCAGTCTCGCTTCTGCAGTAGTGAGCTAATAAGCTGCTCAGCTGCGGTGCCCCACAGAATGGGTGATCATGCCAATGTAGGTCATAGAGTGATGAAAAAACTTCAGATAACTTGGTTCCTCCGGTCTTACCCTATCAAATCTCTCCCTATTAAAAATGCATGTATAACTGAAAAACAAAGTTCTCCACTAGACCAGATATCCAGTAACAGAACACCGAACTCTTTTCCCAAGGTCGCCCTGTGTTTATTCTCTATGACCTGCAGATACTCTCACCTCTCTACAACCACCTGGCTCTGTGCAGTACAGCCACAGAATCTGCAAGAAAACCCAAGGGCCTCAGACAATTATTTTTCTCCCACATTCTTTCCCAATTTTCTGCTCTTTTCTGTCCTGTCCTTCAGCCCAGAAGAACCAAGATCCTAGTTCTGCCAGGACACACATTTTTTTTGAGCTCTCTTGGGCTTAGGAGTTGAGACAGCCATATTTCCTTCCCTGGAATGCCTGGAATGGTTATCAAGGAATGTCATTAGGAAGGAGAGATTGGAGTAGAGGAAAGGAGGGAGGAGAGGAAGCATTTTCTTCAATATAATCTTTTTTTTCACATTGAGAAAAAAAAATATATAATGCCATATTAATTCCAGTATTCCTCTTTTTGTTAACATTTGTGTGTGAGGGAGTCAATTGGTTTCAGTCAAAGAACTTCCCAGAGGTAGTTAAAAATGATCTGCGGCTGTACAGGGACAATGGAGTTTGTCTTGGATTGAAGACAGCTCGGTTCCAGTCCTGTCACTTCTCTGAGGCCAGCAGATACAAGGGGAAGCTACCATTGCACTACCACACCACAAACTCAAGTTGCTCAGGAGGACTGAAGAGGCTAAGAATGATCAAGCATATTAGAACTCATGCTGAGGCCATGCAAGATACAAAGGCCAAGAGGTCTAGGCCTAGGCCAAGGGTATAAAGGCATGTGCTTCTTCACATGAGACTCAACTTAGGGCATCTGCACCATGGGATAAGACTACATCCTGTCTCCATTCTGGTCTCTCTGCAGGGGCACAGCAAGAGGAGATGCAGCACAGTTAAAGGATGCCTGGGAGTTGAGCCGATCATGGCCAGGAAGATAGTTTGGGAGAAAAGAAGTGAGCATCACATATTGTCAGCAGATTTAGTGCATCACAGCAGCCACTATGACAGAATAGGAGAGAGGGGACTCTATGCACTGCAGTACCTGAAGATGTGAGGGAAGGCAGAGAGCAAGAAAATGGTGGGAAAACAAAAAAGGCAAGCAGGTCTTGTCTTGGTTATACACAGTGGATTTTCTGAGTGGAAGATGGTTTGTCTTCTCTCCCTTCTCTTCTACTGTTGGTATTTTAGAGAGCATCAGGCCTTTTGCGTTGCTGGTCCAGGAGCTGTCTGCAAGGGAGGCTCAGGGGCCGCCCAGAGCGGCGCAGACGTCGAGAAGGAAGGCCAGCCAGCTGGCGACAGATCTCATCTGAAGACACAGCAGATAAATACATGGTGACAGAAAGTCAAACCTTCCTTCAAGCTCCTCATCACCAGAACAATTAGGAGTACATCCTTCATTCTATCTACAGAGCTGTCAAATTGCTGAATGCTCATATACGAGGGAGGTGAACAAATCCTTAGGTCTTTATTCAGGTTCTTATGGTTTTATAAATGTACAACACATATTAAAATTACATATTGCTGCAGCAAGGGCTGCATAAGAAATCTGAACTGGATCCATGGTTTTATTCATGAACAGAAATACGAGATTCACTCTTTAACCTCAAAGGAATGTAATTTTGAATACGGATATGTTCAGAATTAGTGGAACATGAGTCATTAATTGATCAAGACAAGGCAATACCAATGCAGAATTAAGCTCTCAAACCTCTTGATATTGCAAATCTACCTCCCAGTGCTTCTAATGGCATGTATATGTGATGCAAGGCTACACTGTATTACAGGTCCCCCCCAAAATTCTAAAGGAATCTACAGCATATGGATTGGGAGTGGATGGATGTGTCTATTCTTCTAACCTGTTCTAGGCTAGCTTTTTCTATCACTCACCTTGCATGACCTCATTCTCCTTGCAGACAATGCGAGAGCACACCTCCTTGTTTATTATGTACATGCGACGCACACTGAGAGGATCACAAGAAGCACGCCAAAATCAAGATAAGGTGTTGCAGGTACCCAAGGAGACAAAGAAGAGGATACAGGCAATAAACGTGAATAATTATTTATGAGCTGGCAAAACTTGACTTCTGTAATTAGTCCAGGAAAAGGCTGTTGTCAATAGAAAGGTAGCCTTTGTCAAGACCACATGATATAGTCAAATGCATTAAATGACGACAATAATGATAATTAATATAGGATTCATTACAAAAACTTAGTGCTGCACAGATGCTGCATTATTATGCTGCATTAATTAATCACCTTAAAAGGACACTCCGAGGATGGGATTCATCTCACCATCTGGTTTCCTGAGAGAACCTCTAGTCTCCAAAGGAAACAATTGCAGAACTGGACATATTGTTTCTGAAGCACATTATAGCTTTTCTGAGAGACTGCAGATTTCTTACCTGGTAACACAGAGGTAGCTGATACACTGCTTCACTGGTTTATGAACAGAATAGAGGCGTGTACAAGGGAACTGCTCTTCCCGACAATCTGAGAACACACACAAAGGTACAATCAAGCAACACTGTCAGGTGTACTCAATCTGACAACAATTAGAGGTCCTGAGTAGAAGCCTGGAGGGCAGTACTTTGCTTCTATTTTCCATTTCCTTGTGAGAGATGGGGATATTTTAGAGAAAAGAAGGGAGAAATTCCTGAGCCCCTTGCTTCGTAAGAAAAAAAAAGAGGACCTTAAGTAAGGTGCAAAACCAGCCTGGGGAAAATCCTTAATATAGGAGAAGCATGCTTTAAAGGGATAGATACAAATAATCCAAATGCAAATTGTAGTCATATATTTAAACACATGTTCTAATGGTTCTGCAATCTCATGCTTCAGGACACAAATCCAGTTCTCTTCTTTTGCTGGCAATCAAACTCAAGGATCTATGTCAGGGTTTCTTGCATTTCCCTCAGAAATGCTGCCTCTTGGCCACTGACAGTGACTGGACTTTGACCAGGTGTGTCTGGTCTGGTGGTCTGCCAATTCCTCTCATGTCACTTTTTGGAAGACTTCAGTTTCCACTACTCTCATTCTCCCCTTCTAATTCGAGGAATGGGATGAAGTGAATTTTCCAGTAAGCCTCGGAGGGCACCAGACTACAGAGGTAACAGGGTAGGTGAAAGGGCAGTTGGGAAGCAGCTGTGAGCAGAAACTTAAATGTACCTGATGCAGCTGTCGTAGCTTCCGTGTCAGATTGAACTGGAAGACACAGAATAGCAAAGTTAGGATGATTTACCTTCATTCTTTCTTATACATCGGTTTATTTTAAACAAGTAACTGGAAAGCTCTTTCAAGAGCCCTCCATTGTAATTTCTAATATGGAAACACTGTTAACCTGAAACAGTCTTTCACTGTTTCATGGTACTTTCACTGTTTCAGGTACAAAGCCAGTATGACTCTGGTGATAGTTATCTAGCCAACAATGCTAAAAATCTAGCAAGCTTTGCTATGAAGTGTTACCACGTCTGTTCAGCATTACACTCCCCTTGTAAGTGAATCTTTAGTTAGAAAGCAAAAGGTTGGATAATCGTAGTTAGCTGCTGTAACTCCCAACTAGACAAGGAGGGAAGGAGCCTGACTAACTCTTTCTTCTTTAGTGCCCATGATAGTGGGACAAAAGGAAGTTGATTCATTGTTCCCTCTGGTAAAGCAACCAATCTGTACCAAAGTAAAATTGTTATGTTTTATTACTTACCTGCCAGACACAAGTTTTCATCAACTTTAAACAGACTTTACTTCTCTTGTTCATGTATTACAGTGTTGACCAGAATCACAGAGAAAACATATGAACATAGAGAAAGAGAGTATTTGGGGATTCAAGGTTTCAGCTGGGGGCAATTGGGGAAGGTAGGATTCAAACTTGCACGAGACCAGGTGAGGAGAAAGAAGGAGAACCCAAGTTATTTGGGTATGGACTGAGAATAAACTCACCAGGGCTAAGAAGGACAAGTGGTGTTACAACTGCAGCTGGAGAAAGAAGATTTTTGAAAGATCTTGATTTGTGTTTTCAGGCTCTTCCCCCTCCCACAGCTTTGCCATTTGATCTTCATTCCTGATCTGCAGCTATCACATATGTTGTTCAAAACATCATTAGAATCTGTGGTGTTTATTTGACTTGTCCGAGTAATGGTAAGCTTTCCCTGTGAATATCCTGGATGTCCTCCAGTTGGGAGTTGCTGTAGGATGGATATGGGTCTCATAGTATATGCTCAAGATGAGGAGTTTCTTCTTGACCATTCTACAAAATGATCAAAAAGCCTGAGTCTGCTGTCAAGGCTTCACATTGAACCAGGTTCTATTTTTTTTTTTCTTCCCATTTTTCAGATTTAGATGAAAGTCATCCATAGTCAGTTTGGTCAGGACACAAAAGGCCTTTAGCTATCCTTTTATAGACTGGCAGGCCACACACAGTGAAAAGAGACTCACATAGTTTGCTGTCACTTTCTTTCAGGAAGATCACACCTATGTGTATACATTAAGATGCCTATTACGGATTTTCTACTCCAGTACCAGTACCCCCATGCACCTGTGACAGTTAGTGGTTGATTGACAATCATCCAACTAGCAGATGAGCACACAGGGCAGAAGAGAGGTCATGGAACTGTACTGTCCTGGAGAATAGGACATCCCTCTCAGACCTCCTAACACAGCACACTTCCCAGCAACAGCCTAGTATTGCTTCATTTCCTTTGTCTTTTGAACTAATGCAGGACTCTCCAAAACAAATGACTGGAGCTATTTTCCCCTCTCCTTGCTCTGCCTGATCTCTGCACCTCATAGCCCCAATAGACAGAGAAACAATCACAGAAGTCAGCAGTGGGGGACTCCAAACAAGAGTCATGAAGAAAAAGAGGAGAGGCTCCTTTTTGTGTCTCTGGCCATCTCCTGCATTATCCACTGTGAGCCTAGCAGGATAAGTCCACCTTGTAAAAGCATACGCTCTATCAACTCCTGCAATGTGTCCCCGTAAGATATGAACCCATGCATTTTTTGTCCCTTGTCTTTAGTTTCTTCCTTCAGCCTCCTCTGGAAGCTAAGAATGTATAATCTTCACATTTCATACTTTTCTACAATGCAAGCATCTTGAGAGAACCTGGTGAGACTGGCATTTCCTTGGAGAACATATCGTTATACACCCATAATTCATCTCCCTCTGTGGAGCACAGACAGGAACTCCAAATAGCTATGGATGCTGGAAGAGTACTGTTAGATTTCAGAGGAAGGAAAGAGGGCTTTCTGAGCATAATGAGTATTTCCTGGGACTATATAGGTGAGAGTAAAGGTGAACAGGAGGAAAAAAAAAGCCTGAAGTTGCTGACATATGAACTTACCTGAGGTGCTGATGAGCAAGTCAGTGTTAGGATCATCTAGAAAAGAGAGAATGTCCTGAAAGAGCATGCTATGAGTTTGCGTCCTTTGCACAGCTAACCATACATAGCCTGAATTATCTTGGCAGCCATGCTAGGCTTATGTGACAGTGTGATCCAACCCAGATAATGTATAAATAGGTAGTGCCCCGCTCTCACCCTTATTTATCCCCTTCATCAATGACTGCTCTGGGATTGGATTTCTTTACTGATGCATATTGCGTTATTGAACTACGGATTCATATTCTGACTTCTTGGACATGGCCACAGTGGTCAGCTTGCTAAGAAAGAAAACTTCTGAAAGCAAGGCACTGATGCCTCCTGCAGCATGAAGGCAGACAGCTGACATTGTAGAGAAGAAAGAAAACTCCAGAACCTAGCCATGACTGCAAAGACACGTTGTCAGTATTTCCTCTGAAAAGTAACAGATAGCAAAACTGCTCTGTGTGTGATGGAGGGCTAAAGTGTGAAGGAAAGGGATGGTTTGTGGATACATTTTTGACCGGCTGCAGCTGCTGAATAATTTTCCACGGAGTCCCATGCATTTTTGTGTATCAGGAGTATCAGGAGTGCCAAATATCTCAGAATACCTGCAATATTTGATGGCTAAGCCAATAGCTTCAGTGTGAATTAAAAGCAGGCCCTTGTGGTTTCTTTAGGTGCTGAAGCTGATGCAAAAACATATTTATGTTATCATGTCACAGAAATGGGAAAAAAAAAGCCCCACAGGGATAAAGTGATTTACTCTCAACAGTACAGTTAAGGAAGTTCTCAAAACATCCTTTGTCAGCAGCTCTCCTGCTACTAGTGCACCCTAGCATTTGTACACTCTTTTGCTCAGGATTTTCCTGAGCCGCAGAAAAGTTGCCCTGACTTCTCACAGCTAATGAATTATCAGCCCTCATGGATCTCCCACAAACCTTTGCTGTGAATACAACTTTATGAAAATCTGCTAAGTGCTCTAGACTCCAATACCAGTGAGTACTGGAGTAACCAGCTTACAATACTTAGCAGGTTGTTTTAAAGGGCTGAAAGATGATCTCACAGTGGGAGAGGCAAAGCAGCAAATTGCAGCATTTGCAATGACCAAGCCTGTAATTACAAGGGACACCTGGATCATATGAGAAAGTGTTCAGGACTAACCCTCCTGCAACACCTACCAGTTACGGACTCTGGATCTTGCCCGTGTACTGCCCATGGATACCAGTCTGCAAGAGAAGAGAAATAGAAAGGAGTGATGAAAAGACATAGAGATGGATTTCTATGGGCTGGAAGGTTTGTGAAAGCGCTGTGAGACGCTTGTCTTTCCAGGAGACACCACTGCCCTCTGCTGAAGGGAGAGACACTCTCCTCTTTGCTTCACCCTCCATCGTCAGCAGGACTTCTTTACAGGCTTTTGGATACAGTGGCTCAAGACTCTATCCCTGCTGCTTCTGCCAAGGTCCAAAGTCAGGCACAGGCACGAGAGTTTAGTATCTCCAAGTAGGCTTCCAGAATTTCCCTTTGTGCAACACCATTTGATACATTTTGAAAAACATTTACGCCTTGTCTCCCTGCTCTGGAGATTCAGCAAAATCCCTAGCTCTATTTTATAAAAGAGGAAATTGAATCATGGAAATTGTTTACTTAAGGTCACAGTTACTGGCACAGTAAGAAACAGATTGCAGATTTTGTAGCTCCTTACACAACTAATCAGCTATTCCACCATCCTCCTTGGGTATAGGGCACAGCACGGAGGAGCTGTCTCTTTCCAGACCCTAGGTTCAACAGGAAAGGGAGAATGATGAAGTTTTGCTGTCCATTCTGTGCAAAAAAGGGGGAATTGAAACTGAGACAGACTGTTCATTTGTCCAAATATGAAGACTGTTCCTCCAGCAGCCAGGAATAATAAAATATTTCCTGCTAGCCACAGGGAAGGGAAATGTCTACATAACTGGAGGTGGGATAAAGGAAAGAGCTGGCAGCAAAAGACTGGTGATCTGGAATTCTGCAGAGCTGTGTGCAGGACCAGCTAAAAGCACAGTACACGCTGCTGTGTCTTATGAACTTAGCCTTTAGCTTTCTACTCTTAGAAGAAACACTGTAAGAGTAAAGATTACAAGAGTTTTAAGGCCTTAGTTTTTCCTCATTCCAAGAGCAGATACTTGCAGGAGCAGAAATACACCTGGGATCCCTACACAGTCCCATTCTGCAGCATTACAGCACCTTCCTCACCCAGCTGCCAGCAAGGGCTCAGCTGCTGGCCAGGGAGAGCCAGACATGCCTAATAACTTAAGCACACACTGTAGTGCAGTCCCAGACTTTTCCTGTTCCAGCTGATCTCTTAATGGTAATGCTCAAAGAGTAAAAATGAGAATGTTCTTGGTTTGTTTCTGATACAAGAGGAAGGACTCAAATTCTAACTTAGAAACCTTTTCTAACATTGAAAAGCTATGTCTTACTAGCCTTTTTCATGTCTAGGAGACTATTAGAAAAGTAGTCCAATTATTAAAAGACAGGCCACAAAGAAGTGCAACCTCTGCATGTGAGAAGAGGAAACAAACAAAAGAAAAAGGTGAATTTCTTATTGGACTTTGAATCACTTCAATTTGTATTTGCTCGAGTACTCAATTCTTATATTTTATAAACACTTTGGAGGAAAGATTTTACTATCCAAACTGCACTAACTTCACCCTTGTCTAAAAAAGCTATCACCCTAATTCATCAAACCTATATCTGGACAGATAGCAAAAGAGATGATGAGAGACCAATTGGTGATTTCTATTATTTTGTTGTCATTTTTATGTCAAAACAAAAATAACAAACCAAAAAAAAACCACACACACAAACAAGAAATCTTCCTTTCAGGCCTTCTTTATGCATCAGGAAGACCACAACCTTTTTTTTCCCCTATAACTTCGTAGATCACCTACAAACTCATCTCTTGGATGGCTCCCATCCCTGCTTCACAGTCACAAACTCTTTGTGGTAATTACTATGCGTGTTTACGGGACAAAAAAATAGTGCTATTGGGAATACGAACAGGTTTCAGTTAAATCTCAGATCCAAGCAGTCACTGAAGAACAAAAGAGGTCCATCTGGAGCCATATTTCAATATAGGGAAGGACTGAGAAGAGTAGATTCACATACTCTGGTTTGAACGTAATGGGTGCAGTCATCTGTTTCTTATAGCCTTCTCTGGGTGAAACTTTCTCCGTTCATTGAAATAAATCCTCTTTTGTTCTTTGTCCTGACCAATATGATTCTAATGTCTGACGCTATCCTCTCATTTTGTTTTCTTCTGCCAATTTGAACGCTCCTAAATTTTCAATGAATAAATTTCAAGAAAAGATGTGAAGCAATAAAACAAAACAATAACAAGAAAAGCAAAGAAAGGTCTAGACTCCTGAGCTTAAGTTTGTCCAAACAACTAAACAAGGTACTACAAAATCCTTTGACAACTAAATGACCTGGAATTGGAAGCATCTCAGCAGGAACCATTAGTGACAGAAGGTGTTTTCACAACTATTACAGAAAAAGTTATGTGGAGCACTGGGAAGTGTTCCTCAGATCACAGAAGCATAGACTGTCAGCCACATGAAGTACAGCACAATCTCTAATAATCACAAGCCATAGCTAACCCACTTTCTAAAATCTGTCTCTGGCTATTTTGCTTACCTAATCTCTGCTGTACAAATCCTAGACCTCTGTCTGCTGTGACCTCTGCTACTTATTGCATATGTGTAGGTACATATGGGAATCAGTCCCTGTTTCCCAAACTTTTCCATATAGCCCTATCTCCACTATTAGTTTCCTGATCAGTTTTTCATCTCCATCTACATGTATGTGTCTTTCTCCTTAGGTTATTGCACTTTAGCCTCTGCAGAGAATTCCAAGGGGCCAGGATGAGGAAGAAATCCTCTCCTTGAAGTAAGAACTCACCAGCTGGGGACAAAGAAAGTGATAAGAGACACAGCAGTATACAGGTTCCAGAGGTCTTCATCCCTGTGGAGTGGAGGACAGAAGTCAGAGGAAAGTTAAGGCACGGGGGCTGTAGCCCAAAACCACTTTTTGCCCGCTGCCTTCATCTCCCTCCTAGGACATTTTGCTCTTCCCAGATTCCCTCCCACCTAGCTTTCTTGTAATCTTGCCAGTTTTCCAGCTGCTGCTAAAACATTTTAGACTGAACACAGAACTCCAAATGCCTTGTTTCTCTTAGCACCTCCTTTCTTTAGACATTTTGTTTCCCTGTCTCCATCCTTTTTCTCATCCATGTGGCTAAAGACTCCCCAGTCCCCCTCCAGAATACAAAGAAAAATTCCCCCTTGTTATCTTCCTCCACTCTCTTCTCTTTTTAGCTTATTCTGAGGAATGACAAGAGAATGGATAGATTCCCAATCACTTACTGCAGCCCTCAGTCTTTGCTCCTTTCAGCAGCAGACGCTCTGTCTTCCCCCTTCAGCTGTTCTCCTCACTTTGGCCACCGGGTATATCATATACAGCCACTCCCAGAAAACGTTCTTTTGGTTGTCTTCAAAATACAATTTGAGGGAAAAAAAAAAGAAAAAAAAAAAGAAAGAAAAGAAAAAGGAAAAGGCAATGAAGTGGTGGGATGTTGTGTCATCACGTAAATGGAATGAGGGGGGAGGGGGTGAGGAACAGCTACCCACACCCTCATTCCAGAGTTTATTATAATCCAAAAGGAGCCTGCTCCTCCCACTCCCTCAGGATGGCCCAGGACCAGGGATGGATTCCTCTGTCTGTTATATATTTGCCTCCTATTTTATTTTGTCTTCCTTGCACAGCGCTGTCTTTCTCCCTCCTCTCCTTACATCACTACGGCTGCCCTTCTTTTTCCACTTAGCCCCTAATCGCACCCCATTCCTTTGGCTCTCTTTTATCCCTGTGTTTCTGTTTCTCTTACACACTGAAAATCTGCAGAGCTTGTACCATTTCTTTCCTAAAGAATATTAACTTTTCCAATAGTATGCATTTGAGAACAGCCTTCCCACCACCAGTCCAGAGATCTTGCAGCACTTTTCTGAGTAACGCCTTTAAAAAACATTTGTGCCCCTAAAAAAAAAGAAAAAAAAGCTCTCTTCTACCTAAAAAGAAGTGTTACAGCTAGACCAGTTGCAGCACTTCAAGTTAATAACCTTGCCATTATCAGTCTGAGACATTTCATGGGGAATGTCATACAAATGTCTTCCTATCTCTCAGTTTCTCTGAAGAGAAGGTACCATGCTGAGCCCTATGACTTTACACTTCATATTTCTACCGATGAACCTTACGCCGGCAACTCTTTCAGACCAAGACTTCATAGTTTAGAAAAGTATAAAATGCCCAGATTTCCCATGTCTAGAGCACTCTACAGCTTGGCCATAGCAGCATGTGCTTGTATGCGAACCACACGGGTGACTGACAAGTCCGGGCTTGAAATACACTTAATCTTTATTCCTCCCATCTAGCTACTTTTTCTCTGTCTTGCATTCTGTCTTTTTTTCCCTACTGTCTCTGCTTTCTTCTCTATAAATCTTTTTGCATCTTTTTCTGCTGCTGTCCCCTTCATTTTTCTTTGTCCTTGCCCCTAGCACTTTCCTTGATCCTGCCAAATGCAAAATCTGTTTTATTTCCAGAAATACTTTAGGGCTTGGGCACATCATAATTTGATTCAGTTTGCCATGGTGACGGAATGAATTCTGGCCTTTCCCCTAAAATTCTATCAGATTGTATAACTCCAGACACATAGCCTAGTCCAGTATGTACTGCAAATGATGCCGCCCAGGAGGAATTCAAAATCATCCATGGAATAGGATTTAATGCCAGAACAATGGGTGGGGACAGTGTATTTAATGAACAGTGAGAATGGACATGCCCCACCACCCTTTACTCCAACGGGATTATTTTGTACTTCTTGTTGGGGTCCCTGTTATACAAATAGTCAGAACTCAGATTTTCAGAGGGAGAAGGACAGTCCCTGTGACTGCTATGATATTCCAGCTAAGCGAGAGGTGCAAAGCAAGTCCTAAGTGGTAACAGATGTATCACAAGCTGAGAGTAAAAGAACAGAGAGAATAGGACGCTATAAATAAAGGGAAAAAAAAAAAAAAAAAGCACAGGAGGAAGACACAAGCTTTCCATGGATCGCAGGCAGACAGAGGGCTGGGCAGACAGCTCATCAGCTGGCAGCAGAGGTGATGACTTCACCCTGCAGGAGGAGGCTGCTGAGCGTCCTCCCTCCCTGTGAGGCCTTGGCCTGAGCAAGGTCCTGGAGGGCTGTGGGAGGGGCTCACCCTGGGGTGAGGGTCATATCAATGCAGGCACCAAACAGGGATTGGAACATGGGGCGATTTCTGCAAAAGGGGAAGGACATAAACTGAGAAAGGGAAAAGACAGATGAAGATCAAAATCCGACCATAATTTATGCTGGCCTTCAAACTCCCTTGAGCTCCTCCAAGCACTCTCCATTTTATGAATGAGGGAGTGGCAGGTCCATGAGCCTTACTTACTCTCTGATATAACTCTTCTTCCAGGAGCCCCTAGCATCTCCATTTCCAGTCTCTTTCTAAGTGTTCTTTTTTTCTCTCCTTGTTGCTCCTGGTTCTCTCGGTCTCTGGAAACACTAGTTGGGCCCTGCCCCTTCTTTGAGCTTCAAGCCACAATCTCAGGGCTGAAGACAAGGCTATTGGAGGAGGAAGCTAGAAAATGACCGAATCTCCCTCCCTCATGCAGCAAGGAAAGACAGAAAATCTGCAAGGGAAAGCTATGACACATACTGGCCTTATGCCAGTAGCTAGGTAACCCTCATTTGTTCTCAAGAAACAGCAGGGTAGGAATAAAACCCAATAATTTTTAGTATAAAGTTACTCAGGAAATCTTTACCATGTCTTGGCTGCCATGAGAAACCTTGGAAAATGTTACCTGTGTGTGACATAACTATAACCAGCATTTCTTACTTAATAGTAGATGGTAATGGCAATGCTCAAGAGAAGTCAAAATGACTATCTGTTCATTCTCATTTCTGATCCTCCAAAATGTCAGAGCGAAAAACCTAGTGCTGAGAGGCAGCAAGAGATGAGTAGAGGGAAAAGAAAATGCTAGGCACTTCCCTGTTCTCCAGAGCAGTGACCAGAACTGAAGCACCATCGACCTGTTTTATTGAAGCTGAACACCACCATGCACACTTCCAGGGATTGCCTAAAACTTAACCCAGGGAAGATAATCAGAAGGTGATTAGGCAAACAAAAGAACTGACAGAAATTGTAACTGCTCCCAGTTCGCAAAATCCTTTCAGATTCTTGGCTTTTTATTGATGTTCAGGGTGTATACATGCATAGTCAGGGCTACATCTTTCCACGCAGCTTGGTTTTGGTTTTGTTTTCCTCTGTGCCTCTGTCTTGTCATTCAAACCATTGTTACTGTTTAACTGGCTAACTATGACACGGCAGATGAAGACCATCCTGAAGTGCATTTATTTGGGAACTTTCATTGATGCCATACATTTTGCCCTCGTAGCATATCACCATCTCACATAGACAGCAAGATTCACCTCTGGTCCTGAGCAAGATTCCTTCAGATTGCTTTTGAACTTGAAATCTTTTTTTTTTTTTTCCTTAAGCTGGAAGTGTGTGTTTTCCCCAGGCTGTCCCATGCAAACTTATTCTAACAACATACCTCTCATTTGGACAGCTTGGTGCAGATGGGAAGCTCTCGGTGAGGGAATCTCGGCCAGGGGCAGTTCAGTGTTTTATTAATACCAGACAAACCGCAGTTAAATAAATAGCAGCATCCTGCTGCTCCTGCTCTCTGCGGACACCAGAGGGAGCTGCAGCACATCGGCATTTGAAACCTCATCTAAGTGAATCGTTCAAGAGCCTTGTGCGGCGCTGGGTCTGAAGGCCCCAATCTGACATAAAGGCTCTCCTACCTGGCCTATTTGTCAGTATCCCGGATCCATTCTTTTCTAGTCAGCCTGCTTTTTTGGGAAGAGAAATAATCTTATTTTTCTGCCATCCCAATCGCATGATATTCACAAAGATTGAGGGAGGGCCCTCACTGCTGACAGATTTCAATATTTAATGTTATTCTACACCTTTCCTTCTCATTCACTTTGCTGTCTTCTCCTTTACATTCAGTCTCCAGGAAAAGGGAACTTGGGGACATCCACAGTGATTCAGCAGATAATTCAAGGTAAAGCATTCTTCTTTCTGAAAAGGCCAGTATCAGCGCCATAGTATGGTGTGAAGAACTCTCCAATAGTAAACAGCACGGGTGACTTGTAAGGGAAACACTTCCATACATATATACCCTGAACTACACAGACCCTGCACCTCTAGGTGTTTATAGATCAGAAGTTCAGAATGTGACTCAGCAAAAATTTGGTACTGATCGCTGAATGCTGTCAGGGGTCACTACTACAGCAGGGAATGATGCCGTAGTAATGGTATTGTGATATTTTGGATGAGACACAAAATCAGCATTCCTGGAAATTAAGATCTCCTGGTGCATTTCACCCCAGCCACAGCTGCAGCTCAGCAGACTTAAGTAAGTCATCCCAGTGTATTTCATCTGCAAATGTCTAGGAGAAGGATTTGAAAGCCATCTGATTTCTCTTCCTCTAACTCACCGGTCTTTACATGTGCTCTCAGTAACTGGGCATTAAACTGCATCAGAGTGGTGGAAAATTAATGAACTGTTGTAAGATGTTTGAATACATCATTCCAATAATGTAGCACTGGGTGTTCATTAGAACTGGCGCTCTGAACTGAGTTTTCTTCGGACCCCCACCGATGACTTCTCACTGCCAATGGGTTCCATTAGCACCTAAGGTTTGTCTGAGGTTGCCAAAGGAAGGAACATGAGTTCAAGACCTGATCTACCTTTCCCTCCGAAGAACCTGATGAGTCAATTAAACAAGGATGGCATTCAACTTAGGATGACCTATAGCTCATTAAAGCTAATTAACATATTAACTTGCACTCCCCTATCCAAATAATGAGATGATAATATTATGATATTAGGGTTCTTGCTTCCCCTCCACTCTCTATGATAATTAGGTAAGGCATTATAATGCAAGTACAAAACTGTTACGTGATAGAATCAGAATGTAACCAGTGAAAAGTATTTCCAGAAAGCCTGTTAATGAATACCAAAAGACCATCACAAAAGGTGTGCTAGCTTTGTGGAGTTACCACACAGCACCCATCTCTGCACAGAAATAAAATATATATCTCTGCTCTGTGTGTCGACTGTCTCCCTACATACTGGTTTAAGAACCCACTTTGGGACAACTAGGTCTAACTTTGTATCAGGAGCCTGGATGTGACCCACCTCTATTCAAAAAGTGACCATGCCTTTTTTTGTCTTATCTGTAGCAACAAGGAATTCTTCATCTCTTTATTTGTGAATCAGCAAACAAGGAAGGCAGCCTTACAGCCACAAAATGCCCTCAGGGAGTGTATGAAATTAATTAATTCATAGTCAACACCATCAAATTAGTTCAATATTTGTGAAGAAGTGAGTATGCGTACAGAGAATCGAGTATTCTTTGCTGTCGTGTTG